TCAAAGGTAAATAATTGGAATCCAATAAATAAATTTAAATTTAAATTTACTATTTTCGTATAAAAAAAACAACCGAAAATTAATTATGGCCTGACTCACTTACATGTCCCCAGCGGAGTCGCCAAGCTGTCGTAGCCGTCTTTCGGTTGGACCCCGAATTGGGCTTCGACTTAGACTAAATGAATTGGGAGTCGCCACCGACCATTTTAAAACGAATTTAAGTGGGCCGGACACCATCTTACCTGATCTGCGTTGTACCAGAAACGTGTCGGGTTCGGGAGTCGGTTACGGTCAAGGAAGGATTAGCACCCTTGAACCGCCCTTTCGGTACCAATTAATTTGTCGGTTGTCTTTAATTGCGAAAATTTGAAATTTAAAAACTTGATTCGAATCACTTACCTTTGATAAAAAAAAAGGTCGAAAATGTTAGATAAAGATTTTAAAAATGGTAAATAAATATTAAATAAATAAAAATCATAAAAGATGAAAAAACAAAATAAAATAAAAAGAACAAAATATTTAAAATGGAAAATATGATATTTAAACGACTAAATAATAAAACCAGTAACTTAAAGAACTAAATTAACAAAAACATATATTTAAAAAAAATAATTATTAAACAAAATGCAAAATGGTGACTAAAGTAAATATTTGCGGCAAACTAAGGGGGTGCTAAAGCTAATTCACAAAATATGTTTAATATATATACTTCATTATGGCCATCTTAGGTAAACTATAACCTAAACACATAGCTGCCGCCTCTCACTTTGTATCCTCTCTCAAACCCCCTGCCTGGCCAACGATCGGAGCCACAAAGCCACGCTGGCCGCCAAGGCTTCGACTTTCACAACTCCGTAAACGAAATCTTAGACTCCGACGAGGCCTCCTTCAACCGAGGTAAATAACTAAACCCTATCTGTTTCGAATGAAGTACATGCAAAATTGAAAAAAAATGTTGCTGATTTTTGTTTTCGAAAATCAAGAAAATACCTTAAAAAATGCTTTATGTTCCTTCAACGGTTTCGTTTTCTCCTCTCTTTTTCCTGTTCGAATCCCTCCGTATTTCTGGTGTAATTCTGCTCGTATTTTTTGTGTAATTTGTGTGTGGATCTCGTGTAAAGCTCGTAGTATTCACTGTCTTTTGCTCGAGTATTTCGTATGTATGGGTGTAAAAAAAGAGCTTGTATTTTGTACGACAAAATCTCTGTATATTCCTATGAATTTCCCCCTACAAATGGGGTTGATTACATGCACTTATAGTAGACACAACTCCTATTTTTAAGAGTTTTATTCCTAGTGAAATACTAACATTTAGTTCGTTTGTGTTTGTTGGGTTCAGACAGATGCGGTGCTAGGGTTTCCTAGTTCACTTGGGTTGTACTGTTGGGTCTGTTGGGCCACACAACGGGCTGCAGAAGGCCTGCATCATGTAATAAAATATTATCATTACAAATGTGTATATATTTACGTTAAATAAACATATATTATAAAAATGAGAGTGGGACGAAATTATGTGTTCACACACTAAAATGTAAAGTATCGGGAACTATGAGATAAAGGTAAAGAAACATAGGGTTATAAAAGAATGGTTAACCCACCATCTACAATGAAACTTAATTCCTTCCTACTCCCAATGATATTTGCTATATGAATTCCGGACCAGTGCTAGAACTTAGCAACCAGGAAATCAATCTGAGACATGAATTCCATTTTATTAAAGTAAAGAACCAATAAATGGGGGGTTAGTAGTTAAGCTACACAGATACAACCCATTTTGTTTTATCTTTTTCAAGCACGATTACCGAGAGACCTTCATAAACTGATTTCATATCGGGCCTCTCTTGTGCCGGTAGGATGCATTTCAGAGCAACCTGTAGTATGGCATCGAGCGTCCTTTGTGTGTCTTCGACGTTACCCCTTTTCAATATCACAGGATCAAAGCAGTCGCCGGTACGGTTTTTCGATGCTAACAAACTCACCCAGTCCGTTAGATCAATCATACCTGTGCTCCCTGAAACTCTCTCTCCCGAACATTTTCCTGTTAAAAGCTCCATCAATATGACCCCAAAGGCATAAACATCACTTTTTAAGGATGGACATGGTTTACTCGAGCTAGCAAACTCAGGGGAGCGATAGCCGAGAGCACCTGCATTCAGAACTTGTACAGCTGTGGCTGCTGATGTTATATCCGATGGAGACTGTAATCAGTGAGGCGTGCAGTCAAATTTGGAGTTTTCAAAAAAATATTCATCGACTTGAGGTTGCCATGGGGTATTGCTCTCTCGTTTGTAGGTAGTCCAGACATCGAGCCACATCTATAGCGACCCTAAGCCGTTCATCCCAAGATGAAGACGGTGGTTTTCTTGTCTCTGTCTCTGCAGGAGAATTTATGAAATAATTCAAGATTAATGGCTTATGTAATGGTATTCTAGCATACAATTCAATCTAAAGGATCAAATGATCTTAGCTTGAACAAAATCTTCAATCACAAATGATAAAAGAAGTCTATAATCACACACTGAACAAAATCTTACCTTGAAGATAGAATGCCAAACATCGTGCATTTATGTTATTTGATATGATCAACTTCTCGTGCTCATTGGGACCCCAATAATAACCCTGAAGAGGAACTAAATTTGGGTGTTCGATGTGCCCGAGTTTCTTCACTTCCCTTGCGAATTCCCTTTTACCTTTTGCTATCCCTTCCTTCAACCAGAGTCAAGTGCAGCTTTATACAATGTCCCGTGACAATTCCTTCCAATAATTTCAGCTGGAGCACGTGAAAGTTCCTCTGCAGACAATGCTAGAGATCCATCAAAGAGATGCAGATTCCCATCTAGTTTATCAGGGGAACAAACTTCTAGTGGACTCGATCCCTCAAATGGAAATCGGTCTTTTGAAGGAGATACATTTGAAGATGACAGGATAGACAAGGGTGAAGCCAATCCTTCATCGCTTCTCGTGGACTTGAGGTGACCGAGGTATTTAGGGTCATTTAAGACGAATGAACTGTTTCCATGATCATATGAAGAACCCTTTTTGGTTGATGACAAAAGCTCTTGACGGAAACTAAATGAACACGATGATGAATCCTTGCTTCTGGAAGGAGTTGATGTATGAGAATGGAAATACTCTCCTTGAGGTACGGTTTTTCTGCCGTTGTTTCCTTTCATACCCTCGCTTGTAGTCTCCTGCCAGTGGTTCCTATAATAAATCATTACACACACGAGCTGCTACAGCAGAAGCACCAACCAAGCCTACAATCAAGGTAATTCTGGTGACAGGTTTCAGCTGAGATCTGTGAACATTCAAATTCAGGTTGAAAGAACCTTTTGGTGACAGTGGAAAGGAACCAAATTTCAATAAAGAGTTTCCAGGATGGAACGATGAATCAGGAAATTCCCTCAAGTTGTCTGGTACAGTACCGGAGAAATTATTAAAAGACACATTGAATCCTTTCAGTTCACTAGGAAGTTTATCAGGGATGCTGCCCTCGAGTTTGATGTTGGATAGGTTAAGAACCTCCAAGCTATGGAACTTGGCGATTTCTGGGGACAAGCTGCGTGTTAACGAGTTAATAGGCAGATCAAGAGTCACCAGGCTCAAATTTTTGGCAGAACTTACCAAAAGCATGTTCTTTATTTCCTGAAGAGGTATTGAACCAGTAAAGTTATCGCCTGAGAGATTGAGATCAGTCAATTTAGTTGACATAAAGAAGCAATGAAGGAGAGATCCATTAAGGCGGTTGAGGCTAAGATCAACGACCTTAAATTCTGGGTATGTGCCTAAAATTTCAGGGAGAGTACCTTGCAATGTGTTGTTTGATACCTTGAATGTATTCAGCCTTAGAAATTGAGAAGTTTGGTTCGGCAAGGTCCCGGTCATTGAGTTTATACTCAATTCAATAACTTCCACATAATCCCCCCAACCTTGGATTCTAGACAAGTCCCCTGAGAGCTTGTTATTACTGAGGTCTATTACAGCACAATGACCCATCCTATAGGGCAAGGATCCCGAGAGTGTTTGATGATATGTTGAGCTTCGTTAGAGTTGATAAGGTCATACTTCCTACTGGCCCTGACATGGATGTGAATTCATGAAGAAAAAAATCATTAAAAAAAGGGTGAAAATATAACACACTGAACCGAAAGTAATTGGCATATGGAACCTCGAAGAACTGACTTTGAATTACACATCCTTCACTGATAACTTGTTTCCAATTTTGGGAAGCCAGAAAAAGAAAAAGAAAACATATTTTCTACCCCGCTTTAATTGAAGATATGAAGACTACAATACTTTCCAAAAGCTGGAAGAAAAGGGAGCATCTTATATTATCAAAGGAGCAAATGCCTTAGGTAAAGAGGCATAATGGGACGCCCCAAGAATGTGCACATAGCTTAATTAGCAAGGCATGGTAAATTTTATAATATAAAGCAAACCAGGATTGGCACAATACACATTGACAGATACAATTGCTCACTGAAGTTATAGAATAAAGAGAGTAAAATAACATGACACAGGCTGTTAAAAAGGGAACACTTTCAAGTTGATTACTGCTGAGATCGAGTTTGGATAAGATCATGGAGCTTTCTTGCAAAAGAGCTTCCGGAAGTGATCCTGACAACTGGTTGTTCCCCAACCAAAGAATCCTCAAAGAGACTATAAAATTGAAAGAAGGTATGGTTCCCAATAACTGGTTATTACTAGCATCCAAAACTTCTAAACTGTCAAAATATGGCATTCCATCATGAGAAAATATCTAACACCCCAATTTTTACCAAATCTTGAAACCCTAAAATTTGGGAAATTTTAACCTAAACTCCTAATTTGAAATCAGTGGTTACATTGAAAACTTATAGAGTTAGGATCCATTTTCGAAAATAACTATAAAGTTAAATGGCCTACCTTGAAATTATACCAATTTTATTGGATATCAAACTCTCCCCTCCCCCGTTTATAACTCTGCGCAGCTCTTCCCTTTTATTTAAAAAAAACCCTAGCAGCAGCCCATCCCCCTTTAAGAATCCGCCGCTCACTTCCTCGCCGCCATTCACGCCATCCGACCGGTTAGGTAAGCTCGCCGACCGTCTTCTTTAACCCTGTTCTTGTTGCCGTCGACCTGAAGCCTCGTTCGCACGAAATCAGCAGGCTTTGCTCGCGAATCATCCGTCGCCATGGCGTGTCCAGAAGTGGCGAGTGGAAGGCCTAACTGGCCGGAAATTTTCCGGGCAGACCCTCGTCGGCCTTGTTTTAATTCTATCGCCGTTTGGAAGCGAAGGGTCCTTGGTGGCCGGCCGTTTAAGCTCACGGAGAGCGTGGCCGTGAGTTCGCTGGCCCTCTTGTACTACTTTCGGCGCACCCTTGTCGCCTTCAGCCCTTATTTCCATTCTGGCAGATTGCGTTATTCGAACCAAATACCGCTGCTAAATTTCATTTTGAATTGGAGATCGTCGTTTTCGTAGTTAAATTCAATCTGAAATATTTGGGTTAATTAGATATTGATTCGGACGTTGTAATGTTGCAGGAAACTCTGAGCCGAGAATAGAGTTGCCGACTCAGTTACCCACGAACTTCAAATCGAGCCGTTTAGCTCGTGATTGTGAGTATTAACCGACGAGTTTTAGTATGTTATTTTCGTAGCTAAATTTTAGGATAATTTAGTTGATTAAATTATTTGTCGTAGGTATTGATTCGGACCGACCTCCTGTTCGAGTTGACGGTGGGAGACGTAGTTATCGTTAGTTATTTTTGTCGAAGTGTGTCTCTAAGGTGCTAAATCTTGTTTGTGATAATTATTTGATTGTCGGAATTTGAGTGGAAGCATGATTATTTTATGGTAATGTTGAATTGATTATATTTCAAATAGTATGTTGATTGAAAGTTATTTTCGAGTATGATGGTTATGTGACATTGATGTATAGGTTGAAATTTAGAAAAGTATCATATGTGATATGTGTTATTTATCGACTTGGATTATTTGTATATGTAATTATTACATTCGATTTATATCAAAATTCGGATATATGATATTATAGTATGTGTTATTTATATATGCGTTATTCGGATTGGATTGGATATTGGATGTGTGCGCCATTTGCATAATATATTGGGACGAATTTTGATGGGGGAAGTTTGATAGGATGAATTTCACTTCGGATTCAGTGACTTCTGTTTTTGTGGTGGATCTCACTTCGACTGGTGTTAGTAGTTAGAGTGGTTCTAGAGTGGTTCTAGGGAACCTACTTTTTGGATGAAGTGGTGAAGTATGGGTGGGTGTATGAGTATTTGCATATTATTCAAATATATGGTTATCATTATTGATTCGGACTATGATTAATTTTGGTTAATTCGGATTATACTATGACTTATGTTTGTTTGCACTTCAGATGCACACTAAGCTTATTAACTTACATCCTATTAGTTTATCTATTTCAGATACTCGGACATAGGAGATTCGATACTTGGAGAATCATATTTAGTTTCAGATAAATTATTATTTATTTTTTGTTTTACTTTTCGTTTATCAGATATTAATTTATTTTTAGAATTATTTTTATTATTTGTAATTGGACTTGTACATTACAATTAATTTTGGAACTGTTTATGCATGTTTCTAAATGATTATTGTTTCTATAAGATTTTTCACGGACATTTGCTTTAATAAAATCTTGAAGTTTGAATTTGAGGAATATTTCATAACAATAGTATTAATTTTTAAGTTTTAAATTAAGCACGCATTTTGTGGGACACAAGTTTCTTCATGACTCTCTAGATTCGACTTAATATCTTTTAGGTTGGATTTAGGGGTTACAAAAGAGCTCTCCACCCACCAAATTCCAGCTTATATTTAAATACCGAATCGAGGAAATAAAACTGGAGCTTCCAAGTCCCGAGTCCAGTGAACCAGATAACTGGTTGCTGCTCAAGTCCACATGAACTGCACTGCACTGCACTTTCCAATTGGGATAAAAGGTTCATGATATCCCCAGAAAAGCAATTAGATCTAAAATCTAAATATTTCAACCTCTTAAGGTAGCTAAATCCAGGGGAAATGTGCCATCAAAACTATTTGAAGAAAGATTAAGCAGAACCAAATCTTTTAAATAGGCAACGCTTGATGGTATAGCCCCATGAAAGGCATTAAGCGAGAGGTCCAAAAACTCGAGAGACTGAATCAAGCCGATGTTCAAGATAGTTCCCATCAACTGGTTGTTTGAAATGGATAAATTTCTAAGCAACTTAAGACCAACAATGATAGGGAAACTGAAGTTTCCAACCAAACCCAAGTCGTTTAGAGTGATTGAAGTCACATGGCCTTCATTGCAGGTGATGCCAAACCAATTCTTGGGACACCCATCAGATGCCAAGGACTTTCTCTATGCCTTTCTTGAGCTCTAAAAGTGCTTCAAAATCAGACTGTGCTAATGGAGTCACTATTAGGAACAATAAATATACAAAATTGAATCTCTGCATTCCTTAAAAAAAAAGTCTCCAAGCTCCTACCTCCACAAATCTCAGTGAATATATCAGAATGGAACAAGAGCAATAGAGAGCTTCTACAGCAAGTTGCAAATCTGGAATGAGCTTAAAGACTACACATAAATGTAGTTACTTTAAGACTGAAAGAATTCGACTACATTGACAATGGGATACTTACAAAAACCAAAGATGCTTCCTTTTGAAACTAATCTAAGGGACAAATTAATGAACTTCAAAACCCATGACCATTGAGATAAACTGAAACACAGACCAAGTGAAACAAGCTCGAAAGCGCCAGAAATATCAGAGACTCTTACATCACACTAAGGAGCTGAGCCTGAGAGTGAGAATGGAAAATATAATGCTTGGCAACAAGGGAAGAAGAGACAAACCGTGGAGAAAGGGTAGCCAAATGCCTAAAAGTAAGAATCTTGAACCGTGACTTAGGAAGTTGTAAAGGAAGTACACCAAAATGTAGTGAGATTGGAAGTTATATATCAAGTAAAGAGTGGTCGAAGATGCAGGGAAAGACCAGAGACAGGGGAGAAAAGCTATGTAAAGTGGGGAGAGAAGGCAGAGAGAGTGCGATCGAAATGTGTTAGGTGGTCTGGTTTTTAATTTGGTCGTAAATTGCAGACGCATTTAATGAAGAACTCTAAAGAAGTAATAAAGAAGAACACTGATTTGTGCTTCGGGGAGTTGAATAGTTCTTAAAATCAGATAACTAGCTGGTAGAACATAGTAACATAGTAACATGCAATGAATTGATGAACTAATAGCTGGTAGAGTTGGTGGTGCCTTGTTGTTTGATTTTGACCTTAGAAAGTTTTTTATGCAGGTGGAAATATTTTACTACTAGCTTAGCTTTCACCTAAGAATCTTCCATTTAATTTTGATCCACCATTAGTGATCCATATATTTATTACTTTTTTCTGATTTTATCCATTAATTTATCAAAAACCCATTCAAGTTTATCAGTAACCGAACCACTTTAAAGAAACTTAAGGCCCAAATAATGAACGGATATGACCTAGCAGTGTTTTTTTTTTCCTTAATAGGGTAAATAGTTTTATTAATTAGCCCAATAACATATATAGAAGTTTATTTTGAGATTAACGGTTTTTTTATAGTATTCAAGAAATTTATTATGTTAAGGTGACGAGATTACTTAAATAATATTTTTTATTTAAATTTGTCACCTCAAAGTGACGAATTCAAATAAAATAAATTTTTTTATTAAATTTATCACATCGAGATAAAAAGTTTGAATAAAAAATATTTTTGAATGGAACTAGTCACTTTAAGGTGACGAGTTATTTATCACTGTAACAAATGTCATAGATCCCTATATATTAGACTAAATAATTATCCCGCATGCGACTAAAATTGCCACCTAACACAGCTATAGAAGAGTTAATATAAAACCAATTATTTTATTTTTTAAGTGGTAAAAGTCCAATCTGGGCAAAAACAAGTATAAAATGGCAAAAAAAGCTAGGAAACACAAAATATGCCATGTTATAAGACAAAACAAGCTTCACACTTTCTTAGTTACTCTGGATACCTATCTGCTGCAGTTCAAGACAAAAGTGATGAGCAGAAGAAACCGTTCCCCTTCCTTTGTTGCTTAGATGTATATGATTTATACAATAGCTTAGAGATAACGTAGATAAACTGAGAACTAGTGGCCGACCTCAGGGATCAAATCCCTTCCCCGGCTTGACAAAAAACAGTGAAGGTAAAAAAAAGAATGAAGACAATTCATTGTATCTGCAGATCATTCAAGTCATATAAGCATTTTAATGGCTTTTTATAAGATTAATCTGTGTAAGTGATCAATTAAGAACAAAACAACATCGACCATTGCCAGCAAAGTGACCATACTATAAACACAGACCAGACTGGCTAGCAAGAAGAGAACAATCTAGTAATCCACTTAAGGCACAATGATGGTTTAAATTGGATGATGCCATCCTCTAACAAAAAACATAAGCTTGTTGCAGGATGTTGCAGTCCTCAAAGACCAATAATTTTCCTGTGCACGTGATGCCCATGCAAGCCTTCGTCTCCATCATGATCGTGAAAAATGAGTGTTAAGATCCCTACCAAGCATAGAACTGAACCCACGAGAACTTTGTCATATCGCTCCACCCAATGGAACTTGAGCTGGCTAGCACCATAGAAGGATAAAGCCACCAGGGAAGTCATCACTGCTATGGTGCTGCAAGGGCAACGTCAACATAAGAAAGCCTTGTGAGTAAAGCCTGGCTTATAGGCTTATAGCAAATCATGTCATCTATACATCATCTTGTCTGATTAACCAGAACCTCAGTATACCCATAGATTATTGACATTCAATATATCTCGGGTGAAACACAGACAAGGGCTAGTGAATTCTTACATGCATGTAGAACACTATTTTTTATTTGACCTAACTTAGATCAGCTCCTCATAATATTAAAATCTTACGCAAAGAACGCTATAGTTACCAATTAATGTTAAGAATTTCAATGTAGATTATATGGTTGAAGCTAGAGTCGGTTGTAGAAAATTGTTGCAGAAAGAGTTAAGTATAATGTGAACATCTCAGGTCCAAGAAAATGGTAGATGCTACTGAAAAATACAAAAATCATTCAAACTGTTTTCAAGAAACAAAGTAACTGGTTTTAGATATCTTCCACAAATTCTTTAAATAGCACAGATCAGCCTCTAACCCCGTGCAGTTATGTATTCTAAGTTCCTGCCAAACATACATATCAATAGGATCAAAACTATCTTCATTTGCTAATGTACCTGAAAAAAATTATAATTAATATGCATGATGAAGATATACATCAAAACTAATTGGACGGTACTAACACCAGTTTATGGATAACTGACAATGCTATATACCCATTGGAAACACACGAAAACAAACTCTCTTTATATTACCACCATTACCAAATGCCAACTAAATCTATATACAAAAATCAAATTGAATAAACAAATCAAAAAATAAAAATAAAAAAATCAGAATCCTTGATCATGTATACCTGAATAGCAGCACTATGATGGCAAGTATCATCATCGCAGACGAATTTCCGACAGCTAGAAACACAGGGAGAGTGGTTGCACAAGGAGACAATGCCGGGACAAGGACAAGGCCAGCTACGGCCATTTTCTCCATGGGTTGGTTATGGGAATGACTATGTCCACCCTTACCAGACAAAAACAACAATATATAGCTACCACCAAGAACTATGAGCAAAAGTGAAGCAAGTTTATGCACTGTTTCTTCGCCAGCAATTGTGTTCGCCATAGTTATGGCTGCTATACCTAGAATCGAAGTGGATATTACATGTAGAACTGCTCCAAATGCGGCTGCGCATATACAATAATACAAAGATAAAGAACAATCAAAGCAATGCCAAGAGTTTAAACGTCCAACAATATTTGGTTCCCTTATATCTAACTATCTGCAACAAAATATCTTAGTTTTGCTAAAATTAAAGAAACCCATAAAGCAAATCCACTGCAAATCAACATATTAGAATCAATTGTGATACTTAAACATGGTAATTTATGGTCACAAGAACTAAAGAAACGACAAATTTCCCAACTGTAAATAAAGTGTGTGGGTGTGTTTTAAATCTGGGTATAAGTATATGCAAATTAGAGATCTAAAAGCAAATACAGTGAGATGAAGGGAACTTACTGACGAAAAGGGTACGAGAAAGGGTCCATTTTTGCGCACGGCCGACGATGGAGAATGGAAGCCAATGGGTAGGAATGAAGGAATGAAGGAGAGACACAGTCGCTATGCCGCCTATGGTTGACAGATCTTCAGCGCTGAAACTCTCCATGAATGATTTTGAATCAGCTTGAACGGATACGAATTTGGGATTCCCTGGTAGTTAATTTGATTCAGAAAAATACTTTTATATATTACCTTGGTAATTGTATTATTTTTTAGGTAGAGCAATGGTGGAGAGATAAATGAGTTA